GAGAATAAAGTAGGTTGTGCGATGGGGAACCTGTGAGTATGGGTAGAGTATTCCCGCATGTACGCCGCATAGAGAAAGCGGCAAGAGTATCAGAAAGAGAAGTGGTGTAGCCCGTAGAGTACATGCGGATGAGGGCTATACCCGAGTTTACCCGAGAGATTCTATGCACTCACATAGCCAAAGGTTCCGAATCCATGCATAACCAAGTCCAATCGCCTAGAATGAGTAGAAGTCACAGGGAGTGAGAGCGAGTCCCAGCCATGCCTCCGGTCAGATGGGGCCGTGACTTACTAGAAAGAGAGCTAGTATAAAAGAGTTATAAGAAAGAGGAAATAGAGAGTTGCATAAGAGAAGAGTCAGTAAATGGTAGGGAAAGAATTAGAGGGAGAGTTACGGGGATAATTGAGTAGATGGGTTTACTTACTGAGCATTGTTTGTGCTCATCCAGTCGTTCCCTATGTTTTGCAGGTTCTAGATGAGGACACCGTCGGATGGACATCGGCACACGAAGAGAAATGGCTACACTGTCCACCCTATTCTGATAGTTTTTACAAATGTTACAAATCTTGTATATATTTGTATAAAGAATACACATGTTTAATGAAAGAAAAATTTTGGGCCCAACTTTTCATGTTATTTTTACATGTACTTTTACTATGCATGTTTTTATAAGAACGGAGTCGTTACATGACACCCTCTGAATCTCTGGCTGTGAAACATCACCACTCTGCACTAAATGGGCAATACATCCCAAACACCCCTTTCTCAACATCTTTCTAGCCTTCACACTGCTAATCAACATACTCAACTGATGGCCCTCTCTAAAACTAAACTTTTTTCCACTATCGAGATTGAATCTCGTTTTCTTTTTCCGTCAATCAATTTCTACTCCATACCTGCCTAGGAAATCCATGCCCAATATCACATCAAAGTCAGGCATATCAAAAACTATTAGATCAACTGTTAACTCTCTACCCTGGATCACCACGGACTCTCCTGACAATATCTCTTGCATTAAAACATTAACCCCATCGGGTAACTCTATCTTAATGGGTTGAGTCACTTTAGTAGGTTTCAAGCCTAACCTCTCTATCATCTCATAAGATACAAAAGAATGAGTGGCTCCTGAATCAATTAAGGCATATAAAGGAACAGCATGAAATAATAACTTACCAGTAATGGCTGATGGACTAGCCTCTGCTTCACCCTGTGCCACTGTAAACACTCTGCCATTGGTAATATCTCTAGAACTCTGTGCTGGTGGTGGAAGAGGAGCTTTACAACTCTCATCAAGTGTCCTGGCTGTCGACACCTATAATAAACCCTCTGGTCCCTCAGATACTCTCCTGGGTGGTTCCTCCCATATTTAGGGCAAAGAGGAAACCCTTCCGTCCGAGGCCGCTTACTCCTCCAATCTCTTCTATTCTGCCTAGACTGAAACTTCTTCTTATTATTCTTCATTTCTTTGTTTTTTACACCCTCAAATTTCTCTCTCTGCGGGGCAGAGGATGGCTCACTTGGTCCTCCTATTGAGGAACCTACCGGGGGAATTTTATTCTCAAATATTTTCACCCTCATTGCTCACCTCAAGACCTCACTATAAGTTCGAGGGGGATCTGAACTCGTCATTATATCCCAAGCTATCTTCGGCTTCAACCCATGAACAAACTTGTCTCTCCTCAATGCCGAGGTACTAACTATTCCGGGTGCAAATCTAGCAAGGGAGTTAAATTTCACTGAGTACTCCTTCACGGTACTAGACCCCTACTACAAACTGATAAATTCTTGGACCTTCTCATGAACTCGGTCCTCTGTCCTGTATTCGGCCTCAAACTCTTGTCTGAATTCTTCCCAAGTCATCACTGCCAAATCATGGGTATCTTCTAATAATTCCTACCAAATTCGAGCATCACCCCGAAATAAGAAACTCGCATACTGGATCTTCTCTTGGTCTGTCATGGGAAACAAAGCTGTGGTACGTTCTCCAGATCTAAACCATTCTTTTGCTACTACCGAGTCCGTAGTACCTTTAAACTCTGAGGGTTGATGTTGACTGGGAAGACCATAAATCGGTTCAACTATATTCTATACTAGGGGAGGTACCGGTTGTTCTCTTCCTACATTAGTGGTTGGTGGTACTTATACGGGGGTCCCAACTCTCCGTTGGCTTTCTACCATAACTTGTTGTACAATTCCCTGAATTCTAGCTTCATCCAAGGAAGGGGGCGTAGCTTCTGGTGGCTTAGAAGGTTCTTCCTCATTCATCACACTTTTACCACGCTTTCGGGCACTGCGCCTCATCTACAAAACAACCACATTTAGTCAATTCAAGAAACACTCATAGTGAGGAAAGAATTAACTCACACAGTCAGTTATCGGACGTCGGGGCGATGAGCATAGTACACTGTCAAATCCCAAAATCTCTGCTCTAATACCAAAAAGTAATAACTGCTTCATACTAGGATACTCATAGAAATATATCAAGTAAAATACATTAATATTAGCAAAAGTAAATGGGCCTAAATTTTTTTTTTTATTCACATATAATCATTCTGTATACAAAATAAGGTATCATTTGTAAAATTTATCAAAAACAGTGGACAGTGTAGCTATTGCTCCTCGCTTGTCGACGCCCATCCAACCGTGTCCTCACCTAGATCCTGCAAACACAAAGAGAAACAACAGGGTGAGCACAAAATAATGCTCAGTAAGTAAATCCTCTACTCGTCTATCCCTGTAACTCTTTCTCTTAATTCTTTCCTTACACTCTTCTCATCTCATTTATTTTCTCTTCCTGTTTCTCTTTCACATAGCTCTCTTTTATTAATTTTCTATTGTAAGTCACGGCCTCATCTTACCGGAGGCACGGCCGGGTGGAGTTCACAAAGCACCAATCCGCTCTTCCTAACTCTACTCATTCTCTCTTTATTCTTTCTCACTTGAATGTCACGGCCTCATCATACCGGAGGCACGGCCGGGTGGAGTTCACAAAGCACCAACCTGCTCTTTGTGACTCTACTCATTCTCTCTTTATTCTTTCTCACTTGAATGTCACGGCCTCATCTTACCGGAGGCACGGCCGGGTGGAGTTCACAAAGCACCAACCCACTCTTCGTGACTGCCGGGTGGAGTTCACAAAGCACCAACCTGCTCTTTGTGTTTTTCTCATTCTCTCTACTCTTAGAGCAGTTCATTCACAAAGTTTTCTACTCTTTCTCAAGCTACTTCTCAATGCATAATTAATGTATAAGGATGGTTCATGCTTAAAATTTCTTACTTAAGGCACTTATGAAATGCACAATGCAATGTTGCATCAAGATAGTCATTCTGCACAGGTCACACTCAAGAAAGCATAACTTGAGTTATACACATAGGATTGCTACGGTTTTGGTCTCGTTTTAAAGCTTAGAGACAGCGATAAAACTTTTATGTTTTGGTCTTAACTCGGTTAAATCTTTAAGATGCCCAAAAATCACTTAGAAGGTCACGGCTGTGACAGGGCAGTTTTCACTTAGGCATTTCATCAAACATTAGTTGTGCATAAACAAACCCTAATTCAATTATCATTCTATTTATTTCTCAAACCATCCAAAATGAGAGAAAAACTCTTTTGTAGCATCACACTCCTACATGGCAAACACACACTCCCAAAAAATTTCTCCAATTCTTTCAATTTCAATCCATCATCAAATCATCACATATACTTCTCATATCCAAATATATCCAACAATAAGCATAATTCATCATACATCTCATCTCAATTTCTCAATAATCACAACATATGAATATTTAAAAGAAATCTCTACTCACTTGAATTCTTAAATTTTAGCTTAAATTGGATTTTGAGTAGAATTTACTTACCTTGTGCTTGAGTAGTCTCTCCTAAACTCTCTACTCTTGTTGGATTCCAATCTTCTCTTAACCCTAAGCATAAACTTCATAAGAACTCAACATTTACACAAATAAATCATAGATAAAGAGCATGAATCCTTACCTTTTAACACCTAGAATCAAAACCCTATGAAAAACCACGTAAAGCCCTCAAAATCCTTGAAGGATTGAATGATAATTTGAGAGAAAATGGGGGAGGAGTGTGGCGGTGGAATGAAGCAAATAAGGGTTTCAAACCCTTAACACTTTAGTTTATAACCACACTTTCCCATTATGCCCTTATTCTTTCTTAGAAATTCCATCTATGTCCCTTAGTCAATGACCATAATGCCCTTATTTTTAATGCATTCTCTATGAAATTCTATCTCTTTTCACTCCCCACAATTTCAACTAATTTTGAGTGAAAAGACCATTTTACCCCTAATGAAAGTTTAAGGGATTTTCTTCACATTTTTCTCAAAATAACTTTAACAAAAATTCAACTAAGGGCCAACCAACCAATATTAACAATATATCAACCCAAATAAAAGCAAAACAATAAACATTCAAGCAATACACCATAACTTAGCTACGTACCTCAAGTGGGGCGTTACAGAGTACCTAGTAGTATTGTCTCAAACAGGGATGTGAAATTTATGTCAGTATTCTAGAGTAACATGCAGAAGGCGTTGGGTACTAGGCTTAATTTCAGCACATCCTATCGTCCTTAGACAGATGGACAGACAAAAAGAACGAATCAAATATTGGAGGATATGTTACGGGCTTGTTGTATGGATCATAAGTTGAATTGGTGTGACATTCTCCCTCTAGTTGAATTCGCTTATAAAAATAGTTTTCAAGCAACCATTAAAATGGCACCATATGAAGCCTTGTATGGAAGGAAATGTAGGTCATCGTTCCATTGGGATGAATTGGGAGAAAAAGATGCATTAGCTCAAGCTCTCAGTCCAGAAATGATACAAAAGATGATAGAAGATGTAAAGCTAATCCGAGAGAGAATGAAACACGCACAAGATAAATAGAAGAGTTATGCAGATCCAAAGAGGAAGAATATAGAATTTCAAGCTGGAGATTAGGAATTTGTAAAAATCACTCCTTATAAGAAAGTGATGAGATTTGGAAGGAAAGGAAAGCTTGCTTCTAGATACATCAGTCCATTTGAAGTGTTAGAGAAAGTTGGCAAGATGGCTTATAGACTTGCATTACCAATTAGTATGGACCGGATACATAATGTGTTCCATGTTTCCTTGTTACGAAAGTATATTCATGATCCTTCTCACATACTTCAAGCAGAAGATGTGGAGCTAAAAGATGACATTACTTATGAAGAATGTCCAGTTCAGATTCTGGATAGCAAAATTAAGGAACTCCGAAACAAGAATGTACCGCTTGTTAAAGTATTGTGGAGGAATCATAATTTTGAAGAAGCAACATGGGAGGTCGAGCAAAACATGAAAGAAATGTATCCAGATCTCTTCAACTAAATTTCGAGGACGAAATTCTTATAAGGAGGGGGGATTGTAAACCCCCGCGTCAGCGTTCCAATGCTATAAGGTATGTAATTCTACCCTTAAAATGATTTTTATCAATAAAAGGGTAAAATGGTCATTTTGCATGCATTATGAGATGTGAATGTTATAAAGTGTTAAGAATTGATGATACTGATAAGAAATATGGTTAAAAGCTCATGAAGGAGGTTAGTAGGGTTAAACGGCACAAACGGTTCCCAAGGGGTATAATGGTGTTTTCATAATAATTTATAGGAATCAAGTATCCATAAAAGTATATTATGGGTAAATTAGTTAATTATCTTATGGAATTACTTGGTCACCAAGCAGAAAAGAGAAGTCAAATGGGATTAAAGGAGTGTAATAATTATGTTGTAGTGGAAATGACCAAAATGCCCTTATATGCAAAATTTATACCAAATGACCCATATATCTAACTTTTGATGGCTAATCCCATTTGGGAATTAAGAAAATGAAATGTTTATAAGATCTTTTCTTGGTTAAGTTGGCCAACACTCTTAGAATACCAAACTCTCTTCTTCAAGTCTTATTTTCCTCCATGAAAGGCTTTAATTCAAGCTCTCACTCTCAAAATTTTCATAGGATTTCAAGTTGAATTTCGAAGGAGATCACCATCCACACTTAAAGAACTTCAATTTCAGGGTTTAAGGTGAGTTTAAAAACCCTAGTTTCTTGTGATTTTTAGTTAAAAGAGAAATTCAACCTTTGGAGCTAAGGAGGAGTGTCTTTGTGCTTTGAATACCAAGGTAAGGAAAAAAAAAATCTCCCTTATGACTACAATTGATAACACCTAGGGTTGATGAAACTTACATCTAATTATGTTAATTTGCATGTGATGCTATGTTTTGGTTTGGATTGTTTAAATGGTTGTGTTGATTGGTGTATGTGTGCATATGGAGGATGATTATGCCAATTAAGAGATTTGTAGTTGGACGATGTTTTGGCACTTTATAAAATGGGAGTTTTTATGGCATTTTATACTTATAATGATATGGCAAATACTATGAATGTGCAAATGAATGTGACATGGTTAAAAATGAATAAAATTCATATTTGGCTTTTTAAGACTTATACTATACATGTTTCACTGAATCAGTCATAACTAAAGTTATAAAAGTCTGATTGAGCTAATTCTTGAAGTATTAAAAATTTGAGAAATAGACCTAAAACTTTTATGCTGTAGCCAAAAATCAATTCGAATTGGAAGATGAGGAAAAAATTTCTTGAAAAAGTGACGAACTGTATGGCATCCACCTCCTTAATAAAAATTCCCATCTTTTTCATAATTTCTAATAAACCACGGAATAATCTTACAGTTGAAATTCCTTGTGTTTTATGAGAAAATCGAATGAATTAAGTTAATGAATTTAATAGGAAAATATTCATGTCATGGAGTTTTGCTAAATTGATTGTGCAATTGGCCAAGGGTACATGTTAAATGAATGAATAGTATGATTCAGCATGGGAGATGTTATCCCATATGTTTGCATTCATAATGGTAATGCATATAGCTTATTTAGTTGACTTATGAAAAAAATTATGAAATGTTAAAGAATGAATTCCATGAGCTCTTGAGGTATAAACCAAGATCAAAGGAATGGAATCTTTGTAGAAACCATGAGTCCTTTGAGGTGACGACCAAGAACAAGGTAATGGCTCAAATGAATTCGATCGGATAATAAAGACTAATGAAAACATCAAGTACAAAGAAAAAAGAAATAGGCATGCCATGTTTATGACTATTGCATAAGTCATATATGTTATATGTTATGACTTATGTTTATGAGGAAAGTCCAAAGTGTATGACATGTTTTATGAACTTGATAATGTCAATGAATGCAGGTCATGTCTTGTAGGTAGGTAAGGTCTTGAGTAATATGTTTGTATAATGAACCTTAATAGTTTATAAATGGTCATATTCCTTTACTGAACGATTAGCGCTCACATCACGAAATTTTTTAAAATGTTTTGCAAGTAAGGATTGAAGCTTGAAGCTGGGAGAGGCTACTGGGGAATGACATGCGCATGAAGGAATGCTTTTGCTATGTTTTGATTTTTTGTTGTAAAATAACATCAAATTGTTTTTGGTTTACAAATGTTGAAGTAAATTTGTTTTAATAAACCTAGTATGACCATTTCCTTGTCAAATGGATGAAAAAGGTTAAATGATATTAGTAAATGATATTATATACTTATGATATTAACTGTGTAGGAAGCTAAACTTCTTGAATCATTTTATGGATATGAGATGTTTAATATGAAGCTTTAAAAAATAAAAAATAAAAGACAAAACAAACAAAAGTATAGGTTTTGAAACAAACTCATTTCCTAGGCATGTCTCTTCTAGGTTCTCAATGGCCGAGAGATACTTAGGAAATACCCAGCTAGGGAGGGGTTTTACAAAATATATGTCCAAGGACACAAGATGAGAGAGGTAAGATTAGTAGGATTCCATATGCCTTAGCAATAGGATCTATCATGTATGTCATGTTGTGTACTAGAATTGATGTCTCATGTGCCTTGAGCATTTGTAGTAGATATTAATAAAATCCATGTGAACAACACTGGACAGTTGTCAGGAATATCATCAAGTATTTGAAGAGGACTAAGGATGCATTCTTGGTTTATGAAGGAGAAAATGAGCTCACTGTAAGAGGATACAGTAATGCTCGTTTCCAAACTGACAAAGATGATTTTCGATCACAGTCAAGATATGTGTTCTGTCTAAATGGAGCTACAGTGAGTTGGAAAAGTTCAAAACAAAGCACTGTGGCAGATTCTACGACGAAAGTTGAGTACATAGCATTATCTGATGCAGCCAAAAAGGTTGTTTGTGTCAAGAAGTTCATTATTGAACTTGTAGTGGTTCCAAGCATTGTTGATCCAATCAAGCTATTCTACAACAACAATGATGTCATTGCTCAGGCTAAGGAAACAAGGTCTCACTAGCGTTCCAAACATATATTTGGAACAGAAGTGCGAGATAGTCGTGTAGGTGCCACACATTTTGGCAAGGTGACGAACGACCATAAGGAATGAGATCGTGCAATGAAGCACGTTCATCTAGACAGTTTTCTTCTACTGAATGGGCATGCCTTGATCGTGCATAGTTGTACCTCTTGAAAATTCTGCTTAAGCACGATTATATCACCTGACAAGTCTGTTTTGGTTTGGTTTGGTTATGACTTGTGTTATACCTTAGCATGTTTTGGTTAGTAACCAATCAACTTTTTGAATGGTTTTAACACATCAAAACATAAGAGAGGTTAACACACATAAATCCCCAACCTCCGAGACAGGGATGGGGATTCCCCGACATCCCCGTCCCGAGGACGGTGATCTCCCAAGGGGTCGAGGACAAGGCCAAGGACCCCATTTCCCAACTCCGCCCCACCCTGCGCCCATCTCCACTGGTAAACCAATTTTAAATGGAACTCCTAGCATAACAAAAGGATAATTTATTTTCAATTAAATTAGAATAAATAATATTTTAACTTTAACTAATTAGCCATTGACACATCATTGGTCCATCTCGGTTTCACAAGCTATGGGGCCCATCTTCCTGTTTTATTTCCTTAGACTAATAAACATCAGAGCCGTTAGGAACTAAAGGTGGAACAAATGGGCCGGGTTAGGCGGGTCAACCCTAACCCGACCCGCATTAGAGAGGGTTCAACCCAGACCACCTTATAGGCGGGCCAGGTTGAACCCAACCCGCATGCAACCCCCAGGCGAGCCGGGTTGCTATTTTGTTTGCATTAGCGGGTTGGCCCAAAAAAAATAAAAAAATAAAAATAAAATAAATTTTTTTTTTCAAGTTTCCCCTATTTTTTTAATTCTTTTAATTAAACTATTAAGATTGAACTCTTACAAACAAATAATTTTACACAATAATATTAAACTATACTTCTAAATCATAAATATTAAAATGTATAAAACTTCGTAATATTTGACATATTGTTATTATTATTTTTTATGGTACGTAAAATATAAAAAAAAAAATACTAAAGTCTTATTCTCAAATTTCCATGTCTTGTATAAAATATGATTCATTCTTCTGCTAAAATTTCATCAATTGAATGAATAAATCTAATTTTTCTTATACTACAATTTTATTGTATTAAAATTGAATTAATATTTGAAATGTTAACCAAAAAAAAAATTTTAATTTAATTGAATTATTATTTGAAAAGTTAACTAAAAACAATTATATTTATTCATTTACAAATTGTTAATTATTTATTTGAAAAGTTAAATAAATAAAACAAAATAAAATAAAAAAAAATAGGGCGAACCCGGCTCAGCCCGTAGCCTAACCCAGTGGGTTAGGGTTGGCGAGCCTAACCCGGCCTATCTTTGTTGGCGGACGAGTTAGGACCAACCCGCCTAATTAAGTAACTCGCCAAGGGCTGGACCAGGCCGGACGAGTTACTTTTCCATCACTATTAGGAACCTTCCAATATATATATATATTAAGAGCAGTTACTTACACAAAGCGAAGGGAAGACTCAGCTTCTACGCAAACAAAAGCACCACCAACTTTCCAACTTCTCACTTCAAATATCTTGTTGACTTGTTGTCTTCGAAATATTTTCACTTTCTTTATTTGTCTTCGAACAGTAAGTTTGAACCCATAAGAGACAACAACTCCAACATCAAATGCCGGATAGTAATCTACGGCGACGGGTGCCGGTGAAAGGTGGCCGGAGATCAAGGCCACCGCATCCGTCGCCGTCGCCGAGGCGGAGGGGACCCTCTAAACAGTCCACGCCTATTAAGATATTGAAGCGATGCTTTTCGGAGCCGAGTCTTTGGAGTAGTTTCAGCGATGGTGATGGAGATGTAGCAGATCAGATACCAATGAGTTTTGGGCACGAAGGAGAAGGTATTTTGTGCAGGCCACAGACTTGTACTGACGTTTTTGCATCGTCTCCTTCTCTGATTGCTTTCTCTCCCCAAAGTAATCTTGAGGTTCATGGTCAACTCTCAGATTTATACTCTTTTAGTTTTTGCATAGTTTCTTTGGTTTGTTAAATGTTGTTTACCTGTATGTTTTGACCCAAAAATTTAATTTTTAAAAATGGGGAAATTTTGCCTGATTGCATTTTATTTTCTGGAAATTTAATGTATAGTATGGTAGTTGAGTTTCGCATGCTACAGTTGGCTAAAATATTAGTTTAATATCTGAACTGTGGTTGCAGGGATTTAGGAAGGATGCTAAAGTGGTGGTTAATGTGACAGTGGAGGGAAGTCCGGGGCCAATCAGGGCCATGGTTAAATTGGGATCTAGTGTGGATGAAACAATTAAGCTTGTTGTAGATAAGTACAATGAAGAAGGGCGGACACCTAAGCTTAGTCGAGATGAGGCATCCTCTTTTGAGTTGCATCACTCTTATTTCAGCCTTCAGAGTAAGTATTATCTAGAAATTAATCCATTTAATTGCAGTTGTAAATAAGTAAATATCTAATCAAATCCTCGCTTTTCTATGTTTACTTCGCACACACTTGTGAAAGCATTTCTGGAGTGAAAGTTTAAATCTTGGAAGCAAATAGAGAAATTCTTGTAATACTTTCTGTTGAAGTATTCATTTTCTTCTCTAGTAAGAAATAAATAAAAAAGCTTGCTTTGTCATTGTGGAAAAATTGTTGGGTATGGGTTTAATGAAGCAATTCTTTTGGTTGAACAGGCCTGAATAAGTCGGAACTAGTAGGAGATGTTGGTAGCAGAAGCTTCTATCTTCGAAGGAGTAGCAGTAACCATAGTACAAATTCAGAAATTGTTCAAGAGAGAGCAGCCTCTCCTCCACCAATCCCACCACCCTCATTCTTACTCCCATCTTTCATGGCTCGGAAACTCGGTAAAATTGTAAGAAGAATGCGTAGGCTTTGGAGGGTCGTGATTTGCCAGCAATGATGATACCATTTTTAAGGGTGACACGACTTTTTTATCTAATGTTACTTCTGGTAGAGTTGATGTCCTAGAGTCAATTAATTATTGTAAGAATATTTATTTATCAATAAAATGTATTTTCTTTTATATGGTATAAATCATAATTATATGTATCGATATATATCCTTGGGATGATAGAATCGTGACGAATGTATTAAGTATTTCAAATCTTGATAGTGAGAATCTTATGATCATATATGGTGGTCATTTTAGAAATGTTCGTAACCCCAGTATTGTTTTGACCAAGGACACAAATAATACGGTAAGACTGTCATAGTGTTGAACGACTATAACGTAAGGCAGTGACTGATCTCACTTGTCAAGGTTATTTGTTGATAACATGGTGCAACACATAGATACTTGTTGTAGGCAAGTTCACTAGATATATCTACCAGAGGATTTCATATGGATGGTAACCTCAATGTCCATAGAATAAATCTTCTAACGGAAGGTGGTGCATGTGATCCTTTGACTTAAGATCACCGGAGGGCTTTGTGCACCAATTGGTGTAGTTTGACACTAGCTCAACGTAGTTCTATTCAGGACTATCAGAATAGTAGTGATTGGCTACATTGACAAGTGTATCAAAACTATGGTGGATTGACAAATGATTCATTACTCCTAGGTACGGAAGAAGTTATCTCACTGCACAATTCAGTAAATGACAATGACACTAAATCTGAAGTCACAGTAGGATTGAGTTGTTGCTCAATCCAATTTATTATTCTAGTCATTAGTCTAGTAACTGAATACAAAAATATTGAGGATATCTGAGGACGACACTATTTATGTATCTCAACCTTGATAAGATAATGGATGATGAAAAGATTTGATTGCATGGTAACCATATCGTTGATAGGTAGCTATTTCGCTGAATCTGAATCTATCGGATGGTCATGATGCCTCACTAGAGGCTATTCTTGGTTTGTGTATAGTGAGACGATTAATTGGTGTTAATCACGATACTACTCACTTGTAACGCCCCACTTGAGGTACGTAGCTAATGTTTCTTCTTTTGCTCTTATTTGAGTTGGTTTATTAGTAGTGTTGTTTGGTTGACCTTTGATTGAGTGATATGTTGAATACTTGCCCTGAAATTGGTTGAAAATAGAAGAAGTTCAGTGTTTCAAGCTTCGCCAGGGCGAAGAAGAATCTTCGCCGCGGCGAAAAGGTGTTGAAACCACGGGGAAGCTACTGAACAGTTTCGCTGCGGCGAAAAGGTGTTGAAACCACGGGGAAGCTACTGGACAGTTTCGCCGCGGCGACAGAAGCTTCTTTGCTGCGGCGACGGGCCGACCAAAATGTTTGTTAAGTTTTAGATATTTTCTTCCCTAAGGGCAATTTGACCATTCTACCTCTAATTAGTAGGAAAAGTGGGGAGTAAAATGTAAGGAATTTTCATGGAGAATATGTTGATATGGGGGTGTGTTTGTAATGAATCAAAGGATATAGATGGAATTCCCAAGGAAGAGTAAGGGCAAAATGGGAAGGCTTGTGCATAAAATGTGTTAAAAGGAATTAAGTCATTGCAAACCCTTCATTCTTCTTCTCCATCGCCACTCTCCTTTCTTACTTCCTCTCAATTTCTCCTTCTTTTGTTCAAAGACTTTTAAAGGGCTTTTGGAGTGATTAAGGGTAGAAAATCAATCTAAGGCATCCTAAGGTAAGGATTCTTGCTTTGGATGTGAAGCTTTGTAAGTTTTTATGTATATTTGAATATTGAGGGTTTTTGGTTCATTTGTTTAAAGAGTAGAAAAAGAGTCAAGCAAACCAAGAGAAAGGAAGAGCTAGTGAGATCTCTCCATAACAAAGTAAGTAAATCCCAACCCAAGTTGAGAATTTTCTTGATTAGGGTTTTTAATAGCCATTATGTATGTATGTTATATACATGTTATATGCTATGTTAATGAGTTTTAAATGGAGATTATTATTGCTTGTGGTTGTTCATGCACTTCAATTGTGAGAAGTGAGATATGGGTTGGAAATGTAGTTTGAGATGGAATTGAAGGATATTGAGAAATCCTTTTTGGAAGTGTTATTCTTTGGCAAGAATTATGGCTATGTGAGGGAGTTTTCCCCCATTTTGGATGGTTAGAGAAAGACATAGAATTATTGTTATAGTAGGGTTTTATTATGCACTTGAGTTGTTTGATGAAATGCCTAATAGAGGTTTAAGTATGAGTAGTGAACCTTAATTCTTGCAACTTTGCATGTTGACATTTCATAAGTACATTAGTGGAGATGAACCATCCATAGGCATTAATTGTGCATTGAGAAGTGACTTAAGAAAGAGTAGGAGACTTTGTGTATGCACTTGCTCTAAGAGTAGAGAACTTTGTGGATGCAACTACTCTAAGGGTAGAGAGAATGAGAAGTGCTAGAGTAGAGTGTATGAGAAGAGTATTAGGGTTGAGTTGATGCTTTGTGATCATCACCCGACAGTTATGAGAATCGGGTTGATGCTTTGTGATCATCACCCGAATAGTTATTAGAAACGGATTGATGCTTTGCGATCTCCACCCGATTAGTTATTAGAAACGGGTTGATGCTTTGTGATCATGACCCGAAAGTCATGAGAAACGGATAGGTGCTTTGTGATCTCCACCCGATAGTTACGAAAACCGGGTAGGTGCTTCGTGATCCCCACTCTGTAGTCACTAAGAGCGGGTTGGTGCTATGTGAACTCCACCCGACATTCATGAAGAATGAGATAGTGCTGTGTGAACGCCATCCGGCCATACCTCCGGTAAGCTGAGGCCATGACGTTTAGTGGAGAACAATAGAAAGTGTGAGGAAAGAATTAAGAGAATTACATACGGGGATAAACAGATAGAGGGTTTACTTACTGAGCATTATTTTGTGCTCACCCCGTTATTTTCCTTTGTGGATGCAGGATCTAGGTGATGACGCAGTCGGAGGGGCGTCGGCAAGCGAGGAGCAATAGCTACACTGGTTCCCCTGTTTTTTTTTTTTTTTTTCTTTTGTCTTTGTAAATAGCTTTTTGTAAATGATGCTCTTTGTGTACAAAAGACTTATTACATATAATAAAAAGAAAAGTTTTGAACCCATTTTCTATTATTATTATGCATGCATTATACTAGTTTACAGCAGTTGTTACATTTTACTGATATAATAAGGAGCATACAGGTCACACATTTAGAAAGTAATTTAAGAATCAATGTGAAAGAGGTATTTTCGTCTTTTAAGACAAAAAAGTATTTTGGTTTCCCATAGTATAATCAAATTTGTTGAGATTGTTGCATGTATTTAATTTTAATATTGAAATTAAAATTAGTGAGATTATATTTAAATATATTTGTACATATATTTAAATAAATAATTATTATTTAATTTTAATATTTTTTAATATATTATTATTTAATATTAATATATTTTAATATATTATTATTTAATATATTAATATTTGTGGATTTTAATAAATAATTATTATTATTAGTTCAATACTAATACGGTTTGTTTGATTGTAAGGATGGATTAATGATGGAATCCATGGCTATTTTTAAAAGGAATAGGGTTTTAATTAGTTGCACTATGTAAGTGCAACTTAAATTAAAACAAAGATACAATTTTATTAAATTCACAAGCAAACAAAAACCCTAGCCACCCCTTGAAAGTGTTCATCAATTTTTGGTGAAACAAAATTCTGTTTTCTTGATTCTTGAAGCCATTGCATCGTTCTAGCAAATTGATCATTGGTTCTTCGGATTATCTCCGTGTGGATTAATGTTCGTATGATTCTATTCTCGAATCGGTAACGAAATTAAAAGTTTGAAGAAGTCTCTAAACGTTGGTAATGTATTCTGAATCTTTATATAAATTTGTCATTATACTGATTTTATAATAAATGTAAATATTATAATCAATACTCGGATTTGGGATGAAGTAATTGATCAATTTATTTTTAATTTGTAATTTTTCCGCTGCGCAAATCTAATCAGTTACTTACAACTTCAACAACAATTGCCCCTCTAGCCTCCAGGTATAGCTTTATATTTAGTGGAGAAATATGCAGCTTCCGGAGTTAGTTATAGACATTGAAATAAAATCACATTAAGCAAACAACACTTTATGTTCAAAGAGAAAATTTAATAAGCGGTCCCTTGTTGCTCAATTCATGTATCTGTAAGCTGCTCTGGAATAGAAATGTTACCCATTTTCCTTCACCTTTGTATGACCTATTTAATACGCTTAAATAATCTTTGCATTTCATTGTTATGACGCTGTATATACTTATTTCAGTGAAAGAATGAGTTGAAGGTCTGCTGAGGTGTCTTATGCTCCAGCTAATTAAGTTTTTAGTCATTTGTTCTAGCTGTAAAAGTCTATTATAATTGAATGTGTTATGCTGACTCCATTAGTAGTTGATGTTAGTGAATGAAGTTAGATCACACGTGTAACAGCTCTTGTATACATAAACCTATGAGGTATCATGAACTGTGTTGAAAATCAATAAAATTCCATAACACTCTCTTTGTTTTTTCTCTAATTATGTTTCTGTTGAGTATCAGAGCACACCATCTTCAATGCTGAAACACCTCACGCATCTCTAGCTCAAATACTCTATATATCTCTCTCTATACATTCAATTTCATTACTCCAGAAAGTTTTACCACTTTACAAGTTGATTAAACTTATGCGGAATGAGTTAACTTGTTCATTTTGTACTTATGTTGGCTTAATCATCATCAAAATAAACAAATCATCCATAGAAAAATGTAAAGCACACAACACATTTATACATGGTTCGACAACTTACTTACATCCATGGGACCAAGTTCAGACGAAACTAATCCACTGTGATAAACGTTTAGTGTTCAAATACAAAGCTAAAGACAAGCATTAGTTGGAAAATACTCCCTGTTTATGACAACACTTCAATCTTCACTCTTTGGTTGAATATCAAACCACCACAACTAGTTTCACACACGAGACCACCTGGTCAGCCTTGAGCTCCTTTCAAGGTTCATCACCAAAGACGCACTTCAGCTCCAGTTGCTTGAAACTCCTCCAAGCATGCTACAATGGAACCATGTTCCAAAACAAAACTCAAACAAGCAAGAGTTAAAACAGATA